CAAAAAAGCTGTCATTTTACAACACTGAGAAATCAGGTGTCAGTGATCACAAACTGACTTTGAGTCAATTCTTTTTCGACTTGGTACTGCTACCTGGACAGAGCACAGCCTGACCCTATAAGTCTGACACCTTATCTGGATTAGTTGTCTTTGCAATGCAAGCAATGCCTTTGTTCCTAACCATTATTTAATACTGTCAACCTGTATGCTTGATTCAACTCAACTTGCATGCTGGTGATACCAGTTCCCGTACCAGTACTTGACACTCTTCCTGTACATACTGAACTTCTACCCATATGCCAAAAAATATCAAAGACACCACTTATGTGCCTCAGGGTTTGCCACACTCATTCCTGCTCTAGACAGACAGTATACTCTGTGGACAAAATTCTCAGCAGCCTATGAAGTTTGACGTAAGTACCTGCTGAACCATTTGGTGGATAGTTAAATTGGACAAGTGGTAAAAAGAAAGAAGAAGAAAAACATCCCTTTTTCCAGATGATGATGATGATGATGGAAGTAGGAGTAAACCATCTCGCTTCCTTCTCATCTCTGTTGAGTTGAAAATGCTCAGCCTATCTATATCGTCTATAAGTTTGAGAGCAAGGCTGATGAAACGGCATAATTCTTCAAAGGAATGTCAAGTTTCTGAAAAATTTTGTTGGAGTGCCATACCAGCTGATTGCATCTTGGTTGCATGGCAGCTAAGAGTGTCTTTGTTGTTTTTTGATAACCGCTAATATGTAAAACAATTTGTATAAGAGCTAGTAAAAAATTTACTTTTAGCAAGTAAATTTCTGACCTACTAGCCTGACCAGGAAAGTTAAAAAAGAAACAGTAACACCAAATCATGGATATAGATAAAAAGCTGGTGTCAAGGTAAACCAATAATATCAATATAACCCAAAATCACAACATATGACACCTGATAACTGACAACTACTTAGTTTGGAGTGGAGTAAATGGTCAGTAAATGAAACCCTGCAGTCCACAAGCTGCCCAGCTGAAGTTGAGAAAATGGGTGTATTTTGACTTCCTGACTTATAAGTCTTACGTCTATTAAACCATACCATTATTAAAACGGAATGTTATTTCTAATAATATAGCCTATCACTTAAAAATACAGATTAAGAAGAATGTTTCTCCTTATTAAAGTAACACTGGACTGACACCACTCTGATGAAACTGGAGTGCCTCTCTCTTTCAACAGCACCACAAAAAAAAAACTACCACTGAAGTGCCATTGAGCAAGACATTCTAGCTGCTCTACTGGAGCTGACTGTACATTGTGGTTGTGTAGTGTTACTTGGTTATATAAAGTGAAGACAGGAAGGCGATTACATGCTAGGTGACAGATAGCCAGAGAGAGGATGGAAGCAAAGCAAAAAGGGACAATTATTACCTGTGATTTCACAGCCCAGCAAGCTGTATGCATGTGTCCGTGCATTAGTGTGTGTGTGTGTGTGTGTGTGTGTGTAGTTAATCCATAACTTGGGTCAGGTCTCGCAGGACAGAGCCAAACTGCTTTCTCTGATGGCCTCTGCATTTTTCATCCTCCAGCCTTTCAATTATTCACAGTGGAAAAACATGGCCCTCGAAACACTCCCTCTTTCTCTCTCTCTCTCACACACACACACACACACACACACTGCCTTCTTCTTCTCCCTTCCATCTCTCACTCCATCCCTATTTCCCTGCTCTATTCCTCTTGCCGTCCCCCCTCTGTGTCGCTCGACCTAAAAGCTTTGCAACGTGTGACCTATCTGCTCACCCAAGTAAGAGGACACAAGAGAGAGTTGGAGACAAGAGAGAGAGTGCAACTAGGGCATACTTTAACTAAACACACACTTACACACACACTCATCTATCCACTCCCTTCCTGCCACACCTAATCAAATTGATCCCTATCGCCTCTACTTGTTGGAAGTAAAGCCAGAGGGTGTGTGTGTGTGTGTGTGTGTGTGTAATACAATCCCTTTCACCTTCCTTGAGGAGTACTGTAGCTGAAGTAGTCAAGCAATTGAGGCATAAGATCTCTCTAAGTGGTGGGCTGGAGTTGTACAAGAGTAATTCTATACATTTCCTTAAGAGTGTGTGTGTGTGTGTGCGTGTGTGTGTTGTAGGAAAACACACTCCACACAGTCCTCTCTGACAGAGAGTCAATGGCAGTGATTGTCTTAAAGGTTTTCTTTTCTTAGTTTAAGGCTGAAAAATACATGAGACGTCTCCCTGAGCTCTGCATTCAATCAGCGCAGTTCAATAGCACTCAGGCAGGTGTCGCGCTAAAGCGGCCCCCTGTGCGGCCGATGCTGACAGCAATGGTTCCTTGCCTTGTATTGGAGTGGAGCTCATTTATCGCTTTTGCCTATGTCAGTGACACAGGATGCGACTGGATCAATGCTTAGTGGTGAATATTTTATGGGAGCTATCGCATGTTAGGCCAGGACTAATTTAGGTACAGGTGCTGGACTAACATCTGACACCAACGAAGAAGTGGAACATAGTGGTAAGAGGGTTGTAATATTGCAGGTTTGAAGGAAAAGGAATTTTATCCTAAATTGTATGTATTAGCTTGTTGGGGAACAAGTAAAGGTAAGTAAAGTTGGTGAAGTTGAAATGCTCACACTGGACAGAAAAATCTGAAAGGGAAATACAATACAGATTTGTCTTCTTACCTTTAGTGCTATTTATCCATCCAGGATTGTTTTTGTGTGAGATGTCTGCCACTCTCTCGGCTTGTGGTGCAATAAAAACTAACTCTAATGTCTCTTTTCAGAAATCATGATCCGGTTACTTGAGATAATCCACAGATTTTATTGTGAGCAGTTTCATGTAGGAACTTGATTTTGGGGTGAACTATCCCTTTAACGAACATATGTCAAAATGACTTTGAAATGTCTCTTGGATTTTGTTGCTAAAATGCAGAACTCAACTTTGACGGTCAAGACATCAGAGCAAGGTAACATCTTTGTTCATCTTTTCAACTGTAAGACTCACCTGAAGACAATTCACTTTAATCCCACCTGGGAAATCAAAGCTAATTGAAAGCTAACAGAAATATAATTTGACATGGCATACATTTTTAATTTCCACCAACACTTCCATAACACTGCATCTATGGCTGCTTTTAGGCTATTCTTGCAATATGGTGCCTTATAAAGACAGCAGTTCTGTTTTATGGCAGGGTGTCAATAATGGCACAGAGATGGATATATATGTGTGTGTGTGTGTTTCCTGCTGCTCTATCCTCTGCCGTGCCCCGCCGGTCTGTGACCATTCGGCTCGACTTTAAACAACAACGCCACCCGCTTCCTGCAAGTGGTCGACGCCTATTGGCCTACCGCCCAGTAACCGAGTGGCCGAGAGAGTTTGGAGCAAGAGGGAGATTGAATAGGGGATCTTTAATAAGACACACACTTCACCCCACATCCGCCATCTATCGTCCCCCTGCGCCCTGCACACCGTACGTGCGATTGATCGCTATGCCTCTTTCTTGGGTTGGAAGGTAAGCCAGAGGGTGTGTTGTGTGTGTGTGTGTTGTGTGAATACAAGTCCTTTCAACTTCCTTGAGTGTACTGAGCTGAGAGTAGTAAGCAATTGGGAGGCATAAGTCTCTTTAAGGTGGTGGGCTGGAGTCTTCGCAAAGGCAGTAATTCTGATACATTTCCTTAGAGTGTGGTGTGTGTGTGTCCGCGTGTGTGTGGTTGTAGGAGAACCCACATGTCGCAGCCCGTTGCCCTCTCTGGACAGGGAGGATAAGTGGACATGCAGGGTGATTGTCTTAGAAGGTTTTCTTGCTTCAGTTAAGGCTGAAATGGGATAGCATGAGACGTTTCTCCGTGGGTTGCCATCTCATCGCAGCGCAGTGTCAATAGAATCAGGGCAGGGGTGTCGTGCGTCTGTAAGGCCCCCCTGTGCGGGCGGATGGTGACGCACATGGTTCCTTGCCTGTGTTTGAGTGAGAGGCTCATTTATCGCTTTTGGGGCTTAGTGTTCGGTGACACAGGAGATGCGATGACCCCGGTCAATGCTTAGTGGTGATATTTTTGGATGGGACGCCTATTCGCATGCTAGGCCAGGATGAATTCTAGGTAACAGGTGCTGACTAATCTGACAAACGGAAGAAGTGAACATCGTGGTAAAGCAGGGTGCTGTAATATTTGGCAGGTTGAAGAAAGGAGTTTGGTATTCCTAATTGGATGTATGGTATTAGCTTGGTTGGGACAGGACAGGTAAGTAGTTGGTGAGTGAAACTGCTCACCTGGGCGAAAATTGGAAAGGGATGACAATACAGTTTGTTTCTTCGCTTAGTGGTATTTATGTCAGATTTGTTTTTGGTGTGGAGTGTCTGCCACTCTCCTGGCTTGTGGGTGCGGAGATAACGTACTTCTAATGTCATCTTTTGGATCGATGATCGTTCTTCGAGAGTAATCAGATTTTATTGTGAGCAGTTTCATGTAGTGAATTGATTTGGGGTGCTATGGCGCCTTTACGAACAGGTTGTCAAACGGATGACTTGAATGCTTTTCGCGTTGGATTTTGTGCTAATTGGCAGACTAATTTGACGGGGCTCAGACTCGACAACGGGGGGTAATCTCTAGTTTGTTCTTTTAACTGGTAAGCTCCCTGAAAGGACAATGTCACTTTTAATACACTGGGGAAGATCAATTAATGTTGAAGGTACAGAATATTAATTTGCGCATGGCATCATTTTTAAGTTTTCCGGCAATTTCCCTGATCTGCATTTATGGTGCTGTTTTAGGCTATTTTGCATATGGGCCTTATAAAGGACGGCAGTTGCTGTTGTTTATTGGCAGGGGGTGTCGTCAGTTAATTGGCACAGGGCATAGAGTAATATATGGGGTGTGTGTGGTGGGTGCGTGTGTGGTGTGTGTGGTGATGT